TTAGCTTCAGTCATTCAACAGCCTGTCTTAGAAAACAGAATAATAATGCAGATAGAGTCAAATTCATCCATCTAATTGTCCCTTTAGGGAGAGAGTTTGGGAGATAAGATAAAGTAGCAAGACAAATTTTCCTAAGCTGATTAGACCGATCTGTTATGTACTCTGAATTAGTAATTGATTGCTCTTTAAAGATTATATTCATAAATAATTGGCTTCATAGGCTTATTTGAATATTTTTTGTATTTGTATAACAGTATTTATATTCTGACGAAAGGGGTAGGATTTCTCGGTTCTGCATGTAAATTCTTCTGTAGTAAAGTATGAAAACCTGGAAGAGACAAATGTACACAAACTATAAGATTAGTAGTTACTTCTGGAGGAGGAGGAAGAAAGCTTTAATGTTATATTTAACAATTTTTTTCATAAAAAATGTAAAGCAAATATTGCAGAATGTTTGTTACACCTTAGCTGGGGAGTAGATATGTGGGTATATGTTTAGCAGTCAATGTTTGTAAGGATATGCCAAGATGACCAGTAGATATTGAAGAGAGATTCAGAGTGTAATACAATAATTCTTAGAGTAGATACTGGGAAATCTGGGTTCTCTTCCCAGCTTTGTTGATAATCAATTTTGAATCTTGGCAAATCTCTGTTTTAAGTGGGTATTCTTTGGTCCAGTTCCCACTTTATATATTCCCTGTGATTGATCTCATTCACTCTCTTGTCCAATTATTTATGACCTAATGATTCTCAATATAGTAAAAAATGAATCCAAAAGTAACATTCTCCCCTATAGGTCTCTGACTTCTTATGAATATAGATGTGATTGCCATCCAAAAATCTAAATTTTAACGTACATACTATAAAACCTTGAGGAAGCGTCTTCCAATTTATTAATACTCACTTGAACATCACCTATGCTTTAAGCAAGTAAATAAAAGGGTTTTAACATATGTGCAGAACACAAACAGGCATACTTCTTAAAAGTTATTAAAATGTAATTTTCAGAAGAG